ATTACAATCTCCTCCATGCATCATCATTCAACAGTGTTTGCTTCTATTCCCTCTGTTTTTGTTTCTGTTTTTATCCGAGGGGGTGGGGAATGTGCACAAAAATACTTAGGAATATATAATAATTTAAACATCAAGGTTGTTGTTTGGAAAGTGCCGTCAAGTTGCTTCTAATTCATAGTGATCCTGTAGAGGATTTCTGAGGAGTACCTGGTGGGTTTGAACTGCCAACCTTGTGGTTCTCAATCCAGTGCTGATCCTACAAGGCAACACCTGAAATCAAGGTAGGAAACAAGACAATGAAATTGGGAGTAGGAGCTCTATGTTGTTAAGTGCTTTGAACTCTGTTCCAAAACAGAGTAACTCTTTATATTATTTCTAAGCATTTAAAAGATCTTTGTGGGAGCAGAAATCCTTGTCTTAATTCTTCTTCAGAATGGTTGGTGGGGTCACTGGATCCATAGAATAAGGACTAGACTGCAAACCACTAGGTTAGTGGTTTGAGGTTACCAAGAGCTCTGTGTTATTTTTGTTGTTAAATGCCATCAAGTCAGTGCCAACCCATAACGACCCTGTATAAGGTTTTCAGGGAGCGACTGGTGAGCTTGAACCACTGACCTTGCAGTTCAAACCGACTTTGCAGTCCAGCACATTAACCCACAACCCCACACCAGGAGTCTCTAGGTGTCTACAAAAGTGATCCATGTCATTGAAGCAATGTTGCATTATATTGTGCTTTCTGTCTTCAATGGACAGATTTACATGAAACATTATTTAGCATAAAAGCATTAGGACTATCTCACTTGTAGAACATTAAGTGTAATAATCTCTTCCCCACCCCACATAGCAATGCTTTATGAAAGAAATATAACTGTAAGAGTTTAATGTGTTTCTCATTCATATATTCGCTACTATATGTTAAGTACTTTATGAGGCATTTGGGACAAAAGCGTCAGTGAACAAAACAGGATACATTCATGTATCATGCTTTACTGAACACCATTGAATCGAGACACATTATTGAGAAACTATTATGTAAATAAACACCATGCTAGTTGTTGTTAGGTGCTGTGAAGTTGGTTCTGACTCATAGATCCACTATGCACAACAGAACAAATCACTGCCCAGTTCTTTGCCATCTTCACAGTTGTTATATTTGAGCCCAATGTTATAACCTTTGTGTCAATTTAACATGTTGGGGATCCTCCTTGTTTTTGCTGACCCTTCACTGTTCTAGTCAGGATATTCTTCTCCAGGGACTGGTCTCTCCTAATAGTATGTCCAAATTGCAAGTGAAAAAGCATCACCATCCTCACTTCTCAGGAGCATTCTGGCTATACTTTCTTCCAATGCTGATTTGTTCATTCTGTGCTCGTCCATGACACTTTCAATATTCTTCTCTAACACCATAATTCAAATGCATAGATACTTCTAAAATCTTCCTTATTCATAGTCCAATATCTACATGTATGCATATAAGGAAATTAAAAATGGCTTGAATCAGGCCTCCACACCTATAAAATTACTTCTTTGTTCTTTAATACTTTCAAGGGTTTTTTGTTTTGTTTTGTTTTGTTTTAAGCAGATTTGCCTAATGCAATGGGCAGATTTGACTTCTTGACTGCTAAGTTCATAAGCAGTGATTGTGGGTACAAGCAAAATGAAGTCTTTGACAACTTCAAAGTTTTCTTCATTTTTTCATGTTATTTATTGGTCCAGTTAGGAGGATTTTCTTTTTCTTTATATTGAAGTCCAATCTATACTGAAATATAGTCTTTATCAGTAAGTCCTCTTTGTCTCCAGCAAGCAAGGTTATGTCATCTGCATATGGTGTTGTTAAGTGCTGTGGAGTCAATTCTGACTCATGGTGATCCTGTGTAGGGTTTCTGAGAAGCAGCTGGTATGTTTGAACCACCTTCCTTGTAGTTCAAACCGACCTTGTGGTCCAGTACTTATCCTAGAGCACCATACCAGGACATCCATCTGCATATGTTGGTAAGTGCTATTGAGTGGAGTTCCTACCCATAGCAACCCTGTATAGGGTCTCCAAGGAGTAGCTGGTGAACTTGAACTGCAGGCCTCCCAGTTCAAGTGGCCCTACATGATAATGCACTTAACCACAAGATTAGTTTGAACCTTAAGTTGGCAGTTCAAACCCACCAGCCATTCCTCAGAAACCCTATACAAATTGCTATGAGTAAGAACTGACTCAACAGCACTTAACAATAAAATTTTTTAATTATCTTAAGCAAAATTTTACTTGTATATGATATTAATGATATTGTTCAATAATTTCCACAATATGTTGGGTCAGCTTTCTTTGAAAAAGTCACAAATATGGATCTCTTCCAATAGTTGGTCAGATCTTTCTAACTTCTTGGCATAAATGAGTGAATGCCTCCAGCATTGCATCAATTTGTTGAAAGATTTCAATTTTTTATTTTGTCAGTTCCTGGAGCTTTGCTTTTTGCCAATGCCTTTAATGCAACTTGGACTTCATTCTTCAATACCATTTGTTCTTGATAATATGGCACCTCTTCAAATGACTGAACATCAATCAATTCTATTTGGTACAGTAACTTTGTAAATTCCTTCATGTTCTTTGGATGCTTCCTGCATCATTTAATATTTAGGCCATAGAATCCTTCACTATTGTAACCTGAGGCTTGAATTTTTTCTTCAGTTCTTTCAGCTTGAGAATGCTAAGCATGGTCTTTTAGTTTTCTAATTCAATATCTTTGCAAATTTCATTATAATACCATATTTTATCTTCTCAAGCTGCTTTTGAAATTTTCTGTTCAGCTCTTTTACTTTCTCATTTCTTCCATTCACTTGTTCTGCTCTACATTCAAGAGTAAATTTCAGAATCTCTTCTCACATCCATTTTGTTCTTTTCTTTTTAATGACCTTTGCTTTCTTTCTGTATGAGTTTGATGGCATCCCATAACTCTGTTAGTCTTTGGTCATCTGGGTCTAACGCATCAAATCTGTTATTGAGATGGTCTCTAACTTCAGGTGGAATATATTCAAGGTCATATTTTGAGTCTCGTGGACTTGTTTTAATTTTCTTTAGTGCCTGGTCCTTATTGCTATTGATATTGAGGTTGTCTATCATCTCTTCCTTCAGATGTAGTCAATTTGATTCCGGTGCATTCTGTTTGTAGAAGTCAATGTGGATAATCACAGTTGATCTTGTTGAAAAAGTATTTGCAATGAATAAGTCATTGTTGTTGTTGTTGTTAAGTGCCATGAGTTGATTCCGACCCATACAACCCTCTATGAGTTTTCAAGGAGCAGATGGTGAGCTTGAACCACTGACCTTGCAGTTCAAATGGCTCTGCAGTCTGGCACATTAACCCACACCACCACACCAGGACTCCGAATAAGTCATTAGTCTTGCAAAATTCGTATCATGTGATCTACAGCATCATTTCTGTCAACATGCCATATTTTCCAACTATGAATCCTTCCACTTCATTTCCAACTTTTTGCCTTCAAAACACCAGTAGTTATAATACAACTTGATTGCATGTTTGATTTTAGACTGAAGAAATCAAATTCTTTAATTTCATCATCACTAGCTTTAGTGTATAAATTTAAATGATTCATTCACCAAGTTGTGGTATTGCTTGATCTTCCTTGTAGGAATATGAATATTATGCTATCATAGACAGAATTTTACAACAAGATAGGTCTTGAAATACTTTTTTTGAAGATAGAGGAGATGCCATTTTTCTTAAGTTCATCATCACAGTCAATCATATTATTGTCCAATTCAAAATGCCAAATATCTGTCTATTTCAGTTTACTAATGCCTAGGATACCAATTTTCATGCATTCCATTTTGGTTTTGATGACGTCCAGTTTTTTAGATTTCTACTTTGTACATTTCATGTTCTAATTATTAATTGATATTTGCAGTTGTTTCTTCTCATTTTGAGTTCTGCCCCATTAGAAACTGAAGATCCTGAAAGCTTTCCTTGATTCACATCACTAAGGTCAACTCTACTTTGAGGAGGCAGCTCTGCCTCATTTATATTTTGAGTGCCTACCAGCCTGAGGGACTCATCTTCTGGCTCTATATTAGACAGGGTTTTGCTGTTATTCATAAGGTTTTTAGTGGCTAACCATTCTAAAGTGGTCTGCTTCTCCTTCTTCTTGGCATGTCTTAGTCTTGACCCCCCCCCCCCCCCCTAAAAACCATCCACCATGGATGACCCTGCCAATATTTAAAACACCAGTGGCATAACTCCCAGCATTACAGCAACACATAAACCAAGCAACACAATATGACAAGCTGACAGATAAGGAAAAGAACAATATACAAAATACACACAGTAAAGCTGTAGAAAATGCCTATGTTTCAGGGAACTCCATAAATCTTTGGACACTGATATCCAAGATCACCCTACTTTATGAATATAGCCTCATGTGTATAGTCATTTGAATACTAATATAGTTTAGAACTCCAAAATGTTAAGAACAGTGTCTCTCAGTCCAAATTCTCTCACAGTTTTTGGACTGTTAATTTGAAATAGAGTGAGGAGAACTATTTTACATGGCAAACAAGTAAGTACCTGGTTAAATTATTTATGCATTTACTTTCATCTTTCCCCAGCCACATTCTAATACTTTTGGACCTTGAAACAATAAGATGAAGGTTTGATTTCCAAGAACAGTTTTAAGTCCAGCTCCTCATTTCCTTTAACTCAGCACTTTACTTTCAGTCTGAGATTTGTCTTTGTTATTTTATTGAATTGGTCTTCATTTCTGGATATGCTAATTAAGAATAAATAAATAAATATCTTTCAGTATAAAGTAAATTATAGCAAGTTGTATAATTAAGTTAGGATGAATTTGAGTATCTTATTTGGAGGAGCCAAGATTTCTCAGTGATTTGGGGTAATTTTTTTCCCTTCTGTTGAAAATGATTAGACCTAGAACTTAACCATCTAAGGTTAGCATATAGTTGTAATCATAGTTTTATTTCATTCAACTTTCAGGTTTGGTGATGGTTATACAGTCAAGGTTTGGCTTTGTAAGAGAACAGATCAACATCATACTATTTCTGAGTGCTTGAAACTCCACATTCCAGGAATCCAGTTTAAGGTAATGCTAATATTTGCCATTACTTCTGTGTTCTCATCTATAAATGTATTTTTCTGTTTTAATTCTATGCTATTATAAAAACCACCTACTCACTTGGAATCATGATAAAATATAGGCCATGTTTCATTACCAAGAATGTCATGGGCAGCCCTTAGGATGAAGAGATCATTTGACCACTGGTTGAATTAAGAATCAATCCTCTTATCTGTGGTGCATCTCCACTGACTGGGACATTTTGTTCAGGATGGAAAATTGCAAAAAGTTATGTTATGATGTGTATATGCTGTAGAGTTTAAGGTAGTAGTTTCACCATTATATCATGTAAAGGGCTCTAGACTTGGTGTCAGACTCTTCTATAACATTAACTCAAAGTGTGATCCCTGAAAAGCATTTGCATCACCTGGGATCTTGTTAGGCATGCAGAATCTTAGGCCCCAACCTACTGAATCAGTATTTTAACTTTAATAAGGCCACAAGGTGATTCTTATGCACATTAAAGCTTAAGAAGCATGGTGTACAATTGTTTTGGATTGCTGTGTTATTCTAGTTTATTATTGTTAAGTTCTGTGACTAAGTTCTGGCTCAGAGTCACCCTGTATACAGGGTTTCCAAGGAGTGGCTGGTGGGTTTGAACCACTAGCCTTGTAGTTCTCCATTAAGTGCTTAGCCTACAGCCCCACACTAGAACTCTAGTTTATTATAATTTCTAATTGGTCTTCTAATAGGAGTCCTAGTGTGGGGCTGTAGGATAAGCACTGGAAACCAAGGTTAGTTTGAACCTAAAGATCAGCAATTCAAATTCATCAGCCACTCCTCAGAAGCCCTACACAGGTTTGCTACAATTTGGAACAGAGTTGATGGCACTTAACAACAACAAACAGGTTATCCATAAAATAGCTATTTCCAATCTGTTGTAACAACCACAAGTCCTACCATGTAAGTACTCTGCAAAATACTATGTCATTCATAATCAACTAACATTCTAAACAAGCTTATAAAACATATACTGATATCCCTATTTTGCCTATATGAAAATGAGACTCAGAGCAGTTAAATGTTTTATCCAGAGTCACTCAGCTAGTGGTAAGGACAAGTGATATTGAACCGGAATCTTGGGCTTCCATGCATCTCTCTTATATTACATCAGTATTCCATTTCTAAAATTACTCTAGGCATGTTATTAACTCTTTAAGGATCTCTTCATTTTTGCAGTAATGTAGAAGCTTATGAGGGTAAGTCAGTAAGTATTGCTACTGAGATTCCAGTTCATGCATTCATGTTTTTGTTTTTTTTTTAAAACTAACATTTAAACATTCTTGTGCAACTAGTTGATGACTTCAGTCAAGCTCTCTCAGTAATACACTTGTCTTAATCTCCTTAAGGTGCCTTCAAATAAAAAGATATAAAAAGTGTTGTATGAAGATCAAATAGCTCAAAGACCTGATCTTTCTGATCAGGTTGCTCAGCAACATTAAAGCTAATAAAGATGATTTTATGTAATGGCTCAGAACCAGGGTTGAGTCATGGATTTACCAATATGATCCAGAGAGCAAGGTCCAATCAAAACAGTAACTTCAAAAGTGATATACTGGACTACTTCAATTCAAGGCAGAGAGATCAGCAATAATATTGATGGATTTTCCTGAAGGATACAGGGCAACCATGGAGGCTTCTTAGGGAAAAGTTTTTTGAAGAAAAGTAAAAAAATTGTTGGTCAAAAGTAGGCCAAAGGTGGGGCTTGATTAGGAAGAAGCGCCTTGCAGATCTTCACCAATAATTACAGAATACTGGACAAAGCAGTTTCAGGGGACAGTACCAGAATTCTGAACTACATATAAAGGAATATTTAGAATGATTGAAGACTTACTGCTAGTGGAATTTATAGCAAGAAAGGTGATGTTTTCTGATCTGCAGCTGCTGGTGAGTCCCTGTGATCTTGGATGTCACAGAGTGAGGAGAAGGATCAGAGAAGTGCTTCTACCACAGATGCCTTACTGATCCTCAGAGATAAAGGTGTGAACATTTTTTCTTGTTCATTGGTCTCTCACTATCTGCGCACCTCCACTCTAGTGACTAGAGGGTTACTCGAGCAAGTGGACACCCCCCCACTTCCAGAGAGTTCTACTATGCATACACATGGGATTTGGTCAGCAAAGGCCACTGTGCCCAGAAACTAAGAAGGGTGAGAACTTGACAGGAACTGCTTAAAACTTAACAGTCTCCCAGAAGGCCTCAAGCTAGCAGAGAGAGGGGCATTAAAGTCATACTTAGATTTGGCTCCATTTTTGTTTTGCGATTATAGGCTGTAATATCCAATCTTTTTATTTATTTATTTATTTATTTATTTATTTATTTATTTATTTATTTATTTATTTATTCCTGTTGCTGTTTTGTTTCTTATTTCTCAGTTCCTTTTTTACTTTGGGGTGGGGGAGTGTCTCTTTCTTTCTCTTTGTTACCCAAGAAGACACAACAATTATGGTCATATATCCAAGCTACAATCATGCTCTATAAAATCCCACCTTTCAGGTAATATCCAATACCAACTGCTATGCACCAGATAGAAAGCCAACAACCTGCTACACTTACTCTGAGTTAAGTAAGAAGAAAAGTGAAAAGAGAAGCCCATCTCCAGATCACATCTACTAGGAGGCAATCAGAATGCTTAATAATGTATCAGCATACATTCATCTAATTATTGAAAATGCCCAAGTAACAATTGACTATATTGGCACATGTTCAGAAACAAGAGAGAGCAACTGAAATAAATGAGCTGGAGGTAGACCTAAATTTCTCATTGGAAGGAGGGCAGGCTTTGGAACTGCCTGAGAAGGAATTAAGGAGAATGGTATTGAGGTGCATCCAAACTCTCCACAGAGGGGTTGAGAAAAATGAGGAAGAAGTCAGGAAAATGCTACAGGAACAACCAAATAAGATAGATACAGTATTGGAAACAATTCAAAACCTGCAAAAAGAGGTCCAAGCAATTAATAAGAAAATATCAGAAATAAATAAGACACTGAAAGTACAAAGGAGTAGAACTGAAGAGATGGAAGCCAGAACAAGTAAACTAGAAGCCAATATCTCAATACTGCTAAGATAGAAGAACAAGCAGAAAAAAGGATAAAAGAAAATCTGAGGAATGTCTAAGATTCATGTAGGACAACATGAAGATGATTAATCTGAGGATAATTGGAATTCTGCAACAGGAATAGTCACAAAAGACCACAGAGGAGATTGTTGAAGAGCTACTAGAAGAAAATTTCCCTAACCTCCTGAAAAATGAAAAGATAAGCAGTCAAGAAGCTCAACAAAACCTAGGTAGGATAGACCCCAAAAGAATATCATCAAGATATATTATAATCAAGCTCTCTAAAATCAAAGATAGGAGAGAATCTTGAAAACAGGAAAAAAGAGAAATATAACTTACTAAGGTGAGCTGATACAATTAAGCTCTGATCTTTCAGCAAAAAACATACAGTTATATAAAAACCTGAAAGAAAAAAAAAAAAAAAACATGCCAACCAAGAATTGTCTACCCAGCAAAGCTGTCAAATCAAATATGAGGGTATACTAAAAACAGTCCACAATAAACAGAAGCTAAGGGATTTTGTCAAAGTCAACTCAGCGCTTCAAAACATCCTAAAGGGCTAAGAATCAACAAGAACAGACAACCAGAGAGTGACATACATGATAGCACCACCCAGAACTTAACTGTCAGGTAGAAGAGTCTAGGACAGAACAAAACTACAAGAATGAATTTAGAGGATCTGGAAGGATCAAAACAATTACAATGTGAAAGAAGGTAAAAGCATAGGAACAGAGATCCAGATGGTGATAATGTCAGATAGATTGCAGGGTGAAATAGACTGTTTTAAAGGAGGGAAAAGTTAATAGTAATTGGGTAACCTCAAAGAAATTAATACTTCACAACATACAAAGAAAATGAAAATCCAAGGAGAGAATGGAAACCTTTAAACTATGAAGAAACTGATAAGAAAGAACACAAAATAAAACATGAACTCAGCACAGGAAGGCATGCAGAACAAAGAAACCAGCAGTAAGACACACCAAAATAATCAATCATAATGACAGCAATTAATTCATACCTATCAATAACTACACTCAATGGCAATGGACTAAATGCACCAGTTAAGAGACAGAGAGTGGAAAATAGATAACAAAACAAGATCCTTCTTGTTTTATGCTATCTGCAAGAGACACACCTTACACACAAACATGAAAACATATTAAAAATGAAAGAATATGGAAAAAAAACATACCAAGCTAATGACAATAAAAAAATGAGCAGAAATGTCAACACTAATCTCTGATAAAATAAATTTAAGCTAAAAACCAACATAATAGATAAAGAAAGATGTGATCACATGATTATAGAGTCAATTGAACAAAATGACATAACCATAATAAATATCTACACACCCATTGAAAAAGTGCCATATAAACAAACTAATAGATTTGAAGAAAGAAATAGATAAATCTAAAATAATAGTGGGAGATATTAATACACCACTTTAAAAAAGTATAGAACAACCAAGAAAGAAACTCAACAAAGACGCAGAAGAACTAAACAATGCAATCAGCCAACTTGACTTCATAGATGTGTACAGGGCATTCAACCCAACAATAGCACAATACATATTATTTTCCAGTGCACATGGAACATTTTAAAAAATAGAGCATGTATTAGGACACAAAACAAGCCTCCATAAATTTGCAAACATCAAAATATTCTCAGACCACAATACTACAAAATTAGAAATCAACAATAGGAAAGCCATGGAAATAAAGTCAAATACATGGAAACTGAATAACACCCTGCTGAAAAGAGATTGGTTAGTAGAACAAATACAAGGTGATTTCAGAAATTTCATAAAAACAATGAAAATGAAAATAGAACATACCAAAATCTTTGGGATACAACAAAAGCACTGCTGAGAGTACAAATAATTGCTATAAATGCACATATCCAAACAGAA